CATGTATGTACACATGCATGCATGCGTTTTTCTTTTTTGAGACAGAATCTCACTCTGTCGCCCAGGGGCATGATCTTAGCTCACTGCAACCTCCGCCTCCTGGGTTCAAGCAATTCTCCTGCCTCAGCCTCCTGAGTAGCTGAAACTACAGGTGTATGCCACCACACCCAGCTAGTTTTTCTATTTTCAGTAGAGATGTGGTTTCACCATGTTGGCCAGGCTGATCTCAAACTCCTGACCTCAGGTGATCTACCTACCTCGGCCTCCCAAAGTGCTGGGATTACGAGGATGAGCCACCATACCCAGCCTGCTTTATATATTTAAATGCCATGTTGTTAGATGCATAAATGGACACGATTATATTTTCTTGACCTACTGTTTCTTTTATCAGTATATAACATTGCTCCGTGTGTCTTAAAAGATAATTTAACATTAAAGTAAATCATATTTGAGGAGGCATATTTTCCTGACATAACTTTTATTTTTAAATATTTTTCTATCTCTGTATTTTTAACTTTGCTGTTTTGTTTTTTTTTGTTTGTTTGTTTGTTTGTTTTTTGAGACCAAGTCTCGCTTTGTTGCCCAGGCTGGAGTGCAGTGGTGCAACCTTGGCTCACTGCAACCTCTGCCTCCTGGGTTCTTGCAATTCTCCTGTCTCAGCCTCCCAAGTAGCTGGGACTAGAGGTGTACACCGCCACCCCCGGCTAATTTTTTGTAGTTTAGGAGAGACGGGGTTTCGCCATGTTGCCCAGGCTGGTCTTGAACTCCTAAGCTCAGGCAATCCGCCTGTCTCGGCCTCCCAAAGTGCTGGGATTACAGGCGTGAGCCAAAGTGCCCAGCCTGCTGTTACTTTTTATCTCTGTTTAACTCTTGTTGACAGTACATTTCTATATCTTTTTAGCTCAATTAAGATTTACATTTTTATTTTAATCCAAGTACTTATTTGTATTTATTGACTTTCCCATTATTTGTACTTATTTCAGCCTTCTTTTTTCATGATGTCCACAAACAATCACATTTCTTTCTCTCCCCTCCCCATCCTTTTCTATTTTCCACTGGGTAAATGAGTTTTACTCTGATGGTCTGAAATTTATACGTTCCATTTTGATTAGTATTCTAGTGTATTAAGAGCCATACTTATGCTTATATTTTCTTGTCAATTTCTTAAGCTTATCATTATCTACATCTTCCTGCAAACAGGACATTACTCCATCACCACTGTAAGCAGTGTCAACTCACCATCTGGAGCTGGGGGAGTGGTTGTGGCAGGAAGGAAGCCTTCCAGATCAGAAAGCCTCTGGTATAATCATCTGTACAACTGCTACAACAAATGCTCTGCCCCAGGTATAGAGAGGAAGCTGAAAGAGGAAGGAGCACTCCAAAAGCCAGGAGATGGAGACCATCCTGGCTAACACAGTAAAATCCCATCTCTACGAAAAATACAAAAAATTAGCCAGGCATGGTGGCATATACCTGTAATCCCAGCTACTCAGGAGGCTGAGGCAGGAGAATCGCTTGAACCCAGGGGACTGAGGTTGCAGTGAGCCAAGACTGTGCCACTGCACTCCAGCCTGGGCGACAGAGCGAGACTCCGTCTCAGGGGGGGGAGAAAAGGAAGTAAAGTATCGCTTGGCCGAGCACGGTGACTCATGCCTGTAATCCCAGCACTCTGGGAGGCCGAGGTGGGTGGATCACCTGAGGTCGGGAGTTTGAGACCAGCCTGACCAACACGGAGACATCCTGTCTCTACTAAAAATACAAAATTAGCCAGGTGTGGTAGGGCATGCCAGTAATCCCAGCTACTCGGGAGGCTGAGACAGAATTCCTTGAACAAAGGAGGCGGAGGTTGCGGTGAGCCAAGATCACACCACTGTGCTCCGGCCTGGGAAACAAGAGTGAAACTCTGTCTTAACAACAAAAAAAGTAAAGTAACTCCTCTAAGGTCACACAACCAGTAATGGTAGAGGGTTGGGTTTCAAGACTACGTCTGACTCCAAAGATCATGCTTTTAACCACTATGTTAGTAAATCCAGACTACCACTGTGACAATCATCAGATCAAAAGAGATGATTACAAAACAGGAACGATTCATATATATCGTACCTTGTACAACACCAAAGGACCTCAGTCCATGTAGTCCAAATAGAAAAAAAAAAAAAAAATTAGATCTTTTCACATATAATTGTTTTACTTAAAGAATTTAAAAAATTTTTTAAACTCCTGGTTAGGCACAGTGGCTCACATCTATAATCCCAGCACTTTGGGAGGCAGAGGCTGGAGGACTGCTTGAGCTCAGGAGTTCTAGACCAATCTGGACAACATAGTGAGACCCTGTCTCTGCAAAAAAAAATTTAAACATTAACCAAATGTGATGGTGCATGCCTATAGTTTTTACTACTTGGGAGGCTGAGGCAGGAGGAGTGTTTGATCCCAAGAGTTCAAGGCTGCAATAAGCTATTAATATAGTCATGCCACTGCACTCCAGCTTAAGTGACAGAGTAAGAGTCTATCTCTAAAAAAAAAAAAAAATGAAGAACTCCATGATCCATGTTCTTTTTCCACATTTACTTAATTTAGTGATCTGAGTATTAGAACCAAGTCTAGGATAGCTGCAGAAAAGAGGATGAAATCAGCTAAGAGCAAATTATAAAAATACATGAAAACTTTCAAAGAGTTGGCACAAACTGCCTTTTACTGGGCTCTAACATTGGAAAGTTGCTTCGGAAAAGGGGACTCTTGTCAAGTGTCATCAGAGTAATTTTTTAAGTAATGATGATAAACAGACATATTACATTCTTAATATCATTCCAAATTCAAAAGGAAGTTAGCTTTCATTCTTTTCTTTTTTATGATCATATGGTTCTATTTGAGCAGTGGCCCTAGTAACTTACAGAAATAATCATGAGACTCAGCTACTCTTGTAATGGCTAAAAACAAATATAAAAACCATTCAAGAATGACAACAAATACAATCTATTCTCTATGGCACAAGAAACCAATCACAAGCCCATCTGGGTGAGACCTGGCTAATAAGAACATTATTTGAGAGGTACAAAGAGAAGGATAGATTGCCAAGGGGGAAAAGTCATTTATTAGACTGTGACAAGCTTTTAAATGTTTGCATTATCATTAACCAACTGCTTGGTTCTCTGGTTTGCACACCTGCCACCTCCATCCAAAGCTATTACAGTAGCAAATTTGGAAGTAGGGCTGGCCTCTAGAACACTGGCACCCTCTTCTGACCCTTTTGCAGTATTACATGCACTCAAGCTTTTACATTTTAAAATAGAGTGTAATTGGATTGTTTGTAACTCAAAGGACACACGTTTGAGGGGATGGATACCCCCATTCTCCATAATTTATTTATTTCACACTGAATGCCTGTATTAAATATCTCACATGCCCCATAAATATACCTACTATGTACCCACAAAAAAATTTTAAAATTAATAAAGCTATAAATGAGTAACTTTGCAGGTAACATTTTCTAGATAATTTTATATTTGTAATTTCTGAATAAACCTAAGTTTAGCTTAATAAAAATATGAAAAAGCAGATCTTCTAAACAAAACTGTGACAATGAAAGAGAAAACTGTTCTCTTAACATCTCGACAGCACATCTATTAGTTGATTTTATTACAAGAATTATAAAATGATGGCAAAGACGAATGTCCAAAGACTTACTATGTGCCAAACACTAGCAGTGAAGAAATGAGTTTAATTCTAACAACAAACTTATGAGTTAAGCACTACTATTCTCTTCATCTTACAGATGTGAAAAGTGAGGCATAATGAAGTTAAATATATTCCCAGGACCATGCGACTTGTAGTAAATGGTAAAGATGAAGTCCAAACTCTAACATGACTCTAGAGTCAGAGCCTTAGACGCTACTGCATCTCACGATTTTATATCCAAAATATCTCTGTGAGATAGAATGGAGCTGATATCATAACAAAATGAAACATAACTAAAATAGAGAAAGTGTCTGTTATAAGAAAAATTACAAATATGTCATCTAAAATCTCCCATTTTTATCAAAGCCCCAAATTGTACAGATAGAAATACTACATGAAACAGTTTAGGTTCCTTCTTCTTTCTTCCTTACTTAAAGATTCTTGTCTTCTAAGACTATGATGTTTTTATTCTTTCTTTTCCTCCTCATTCCTTTTTTCCATCAAATTATGCTCTTATCTATTATGTTTCTTTCTTATCTATTATCTTCTTTATGTTTCTTCTATAAAGCAAAACTACTTATCTATTCTTAAATTACCTATTTCACTGTGACCTTTAAAAAAAATTTCATATTAAGACAGTAAATCCACATAGCATCATCAACTCTTTCTCTCTGATCATTGAAAATAAGATAAGTAAGAATCCACCTGGGATTATTTAGCAGTACACTAAATATCCACCTGAAGTCATATGCCTATCCGAAGATGGTCAACACCTATCTGAAGTCGCAGCCAACAGTCTAGATAATCTTCTAAGATTTCTAAAACCACTAACTTTATTTTCAAACAGGATATAACGACACATTGTCTAATATCTGTGGTTTAAAATTAGACTATCTAGAACTTTAATATATTCCAGTTTCCTATACACAGTTATTCATAGTATCACAACTTAAGAACACTTAAATGTACTCCAAATGCAGCATAACCAAGCTCATTGTCATTCATGAAGCTTCTAAATCAATGATTTCTCTTTTACAATTATCTTTTCATTTTTAATACTGTTAGTTTTATAGTTTCAAGTACAGACTCAGTGAAAGTTTAAATAATTAAAAACAAACAAACTGCACCCATTTTAACTTGTTAGATCTAGGAAAAACTGAAACAAGATGGTTACATTTTAGTACAATAACTTATCATGCTGCTAAAGAATTAATCATGAGATTACTCATATTTCCCAATTCTAAATATAACAAAAATAGAACAGGTAATGCTTATGAAAAGGTGCCAAGAAATCAACTCCCCACAAATCCCAGAATTCTTTTTACCTCAGTCTGCAGGATGGCAGCCCTCTGCTCCTTGGCAGTCAAGGACTCCTTCAGCACTTCAATGTGCTGTTTACTATCTGAGAACTGGTTTGTGAGTGTTTCTAGCTTTGTCTGCAGGGCAAGTAATTCTGTGTCCTTTCTGGACAGTTCCTGTTTCACCTGGCCAATCTAGAAAAGAAGTAAAACACTTTAAGGAAAAAGGAAGTAAAATAAGCAACTCTTATGTGGATGTTTGACAGGGGTGAGTCACAAAATATGAAACTAAATGCAGCACAAATGATATGATAGAACATATTCACCTTTTTGCATCCACCTAATCTTGGACCCCTCCCCCGCAAAAAAAACTATGCTTATTCAACAAAAAGGGAAATGTCCAGTTTTCATTTATTATGTCTTCTAAATATTCTTTGAAACCCCTTAGAAAGAGAATGAAGGCAAAGAAAATTGCAATTCAATTAGATGACAATGAGACAGCAGTAAGCAAAAGAACACCACTGTACTGATAAAATAGTTTTCATTTTTTTAGGTGAGACCTCTTCAGAACACTTCAGATGGATCAAATGCAGGATGAGTGTAGATATAACAGAAGAGGGAAAAAAGAAACTTCCTAGTACTACTATTTAAATTCAAAATCTGCTGCTGTGCTTATTTTTCATTAAGTTATATTTTTCATTCTCAAAAGTCCGCATAAAATTATCTTAAAGAGCTACTTTTAATGTTATACATATATGCTTTTGTAAAATCCTATAATTTGATGTTATGTGTATTAATTTCTCTCTTAACATTTAAAGTATTTTTTTTTCAAACACCTTCTTTACATTCCTACTATTTGTAAGAATTTTTTAAATAGTTTTTTACCCTAAGTATAAGCCAAGTAAACAGAAATTAAATCTGCTTTTACATTATGTCTACAACCTAGCAAGGAACTAAAAAATATATTAATTATTAGAAGCATAAATTTGACAAGAAGTCAGTAATTTCGGTGTCACTAATGAAACAAAAAGTTATCTTTTTATTTTTAAAAACTTGAATGTCCAAAACCTAAAATGCAATAAAATAAATAAATGGGGGAAAAAAAAAAAAAAAAAAACTTGAATGTATATAAAGTATTATAACCGCAATAATCTTAGGTATAAGGGATAAAGCTTTTAAGAACAATTTCCCATGAAGAAATAAATTTTACATTCATGAAAATTAGACTTTTGAGGAGCACTAAAAATAAATTTCCAATTTAGTCTTCTCTTTCAAAAAAGATAACTATTTTTCTCATATACATGAAATCTTTGCTTAGAGATATATTCATTTATTCAACAAATGTTTCTGTACGCTTATTGTATACAAAGTATCTGAGGATACTAAAAACCTAAGTGGAAGATAATTGTAAATGGTGGCTATATTCATCCTGCAAAATAGGTATGTACCCAGGAGTTACCAAACACTGTAACAACGTGGAGTCTTTAATGATATCCCTTTACCAATAAAAACCACATATTACTATTATTCCATTCCCTAACACACTGATTATAACACAAATGCATTTGTTGGATGAACGAATATTTGGGGGATGTTCAAAGTGTTACCATTTTCTCACAGCTAAGGAATTATGACTTAAAGATTATTCAAATTCCCAGCTACCTCCAATCATGTGGTCAAAAATAAATATAAAAATCTGTTTCATAATCATCTGTATTATTAAGTAAGCTTCAAATAATAAGCTATATTGACCTTAAACACTAAGAAAGGAAAGAAAATATTGTAAACGAAAAGCAGAGTTTAGGCCAGGCACGGTGGCTCACGCCTGTAATCCCAGCACTTTGGGAGGCCAAGGTGGGTGTATCACGAGGTCAGGAGATCGAGGACATCCTGGCCAACCTGGTGAAACTCCATCTCTACTAAAAATACAAAAATTAGCTGGGCGTGGTGGCGCCTGCCTGTAATCCCAGCTACTCTGGAGGCTGAGTCAGGAGAATCACTTGAACCAGGGAGTCAGAGGTTGCTGTGAGCCGAGATCATACTACAGAGCAAGACTCCATCTCAAAAAAAAAAAAAAAAAAAAAAAGGCAGAGTTTAGAAGCACAAATTTTCCTTAAAGACTGAGCAGGGAAGAGATTATAAATAGGAAGCAACTATAATACAAAGCACGGAGCACGGGGATCTGCAGACAATCACACATCAGAACTAAGCTAGCTATGTGTCCCTGAACAATTCCCTTCCTATTCCGTTTCCTAATCAGTAATAAGGAGAAATTATACCAATGCCACTGTACTGTTCATGGATTCAATAAAATAAAGTGTGAAATGTGCTTAGCCTGTTGTCTGACACTAACAGTAGCTATTTAAAAAAGGAAGTTATCGATCAACCTCCCCTCTAGACAATATATGGTTTCCATAAACCAAATTAGACCTTTCTATCAAAATATTTCATTCTTTAATATATACTACAAAGTAGACCATAAACAATAAATCTACCAAAATAGCACAAGTTTGGTTTTTTAAATGCTGTATTCCAGCTCTTAGCCCACAATTATTTTCAGACGCAGTTTTTGCTGACACTTTGATAAATGTGTGCACCACCTAGTATAGGTAAGTATATAGTAAAGAACTTATAAGCACAGTTTGTGGAAGAAGACTGCTTATATAAAACCAAATCCTGCCTCTTACTAGCTGTGTTTTCCCAGGCATCATTCTGTTACCTCAGTTTCCTCGTCTATAATTTGGAGTTGAAAATATGTCTAACTCGGCACGTTATAAAATGTTTATAGTAAGTGTGCAAGTATTAGCTATTTTATTATTCATCTATCCCTTGGCATCCATGGGTCCATGAGGGACTGGTCTTGGATATCAAAATTAATTAATGGTGAAGTCCCTGATATAAAATGATGTAGTATTTTCACATAACCTATGCATAGCTTCCAGTATACTTTAAATCATCTCTAGATTACTTGTAATACCTAATACAATGTAAATGCTATGTAAATAGTTTTCATACTGTATTGTTTAGGGAATAATGACAAAGGAAAAAAGCCTGTACATGTTCAGTACAGATACAACATCCGGTTTTTTTACCCTGAAAATAAAAAACAGCTGGTTAAATCCACAGATGCAAAACTCACAGATATGGAGGGCCAACTGTATTTATTTTATTATTATGCTCTGAAATAAAATTTTAAACTCATTACAATATTGAACTAGATTTAGATACCTGAAGTAAGTCTCTTAGTAATTTTAATTTACTAGATACTTTCTATACATCTGTCCTAAAGAAAGTAACATTTGTGGCAAAATCACTCACTGGAGATTTAAAGGTAACATCTACATAAGAAGGCAAATCACTTTACTCAAGAGCTTCAAATTCAAACAAACTCTAAGTGATAGGCCTAGAACAACTGAATATATTCTTGTACCTAGGATGAAAAGAAGACCACCATTCATATAAATCAACAATAAGGGGTTGAGAAAAAACAAGCTTTGAAATGCCATCCATAGAGTGACAAAAGCAACAATAAAGTACCAGGTATAATAAGGCTTCCAGAACATGTGAAGGCTCTCACTGCACACAAAGTGACATGTGGGTCAAACTGGTGAACAGAAGTCAGTTAAAGAGCAGAGCAGGCTGGTTAGTGCTAGTAATGGGCAAAGCTGCCAACCATAGAGAATGAAAGTATAAGCCACCCAGAAGCCATAGAGCTAGCAGGGTCCCACTGCGGGATCACTGCATACAGAGAGGTAAATCTTACGGCAAAGACCTCAGCCTGAAGACCAGCCGCTCTCTTTTTCAGCTCCTCCCCTTGAGCCTCTTTCGAACTTAGTTCCTCCTTCAGTTGTTCTACCTGTCACGACATTATTATTTTTTTTCACTTAGATATCAACTTAGGTCTTCTTATTATCTGCTTTTGAGCCAGAATGGTAACCGGAAATAACAGTAACTTATATAATACAATCAAATCTGTTCCCCTCATTCCCTCCCTCTTTAAAGAGCCATAGGTAGTTTCTCTACGTTCACACGTTTATTTTCCCCCACAGTGGAGTGTAATGTGCTAATCGACAAATGAAAAACATAAACACAGAGATTATACTGCACTATGTTTTATTCTCAAATTAGGGTGAAAAATCCAAACTAACAGAAAGTTGGGTATGTGAGGCCAGGCACAGCAGCTCACACCTGTAATCCCAGCACTTTGGGAGGTCAAGGCGGGAGAATCATTTGGAGTTCGAGACCTGCCTTGCCATCATAATGAAACCTGTCTCTACTCTACTAAAACTACACAAATTAGCTGGGCATGGTAGTGGGCACCTGTAATCCCAGCTACTCGGGAGACTGAAGCAGGAGAATTGCTTGAACCCTGGAGATGGAAGCTGCAGTGAGCCGAGATCATACCACTGCACTCCAGCCTGGGTAACAAAGCGAAACTCCGTCTCAAAAAAACACAGAATAAAAGAAAGTAAGTTGGATATATGAGTTTTTACGTTCTAAAACTGAAATGAAATTAGTAGGAATGATTAATAATAGAGTCTCAAGGTAGTAGAGGAATATTCTGTAGACTTATATGCCAGGTATGGGTATCGTGGCAAGAAGCCAGAAACTGGAGGGGAAGTTATGATTATCATTCCTTCACATTACTGGGATGTTTCCATTTTCATTTCTAAGAACTTGAAGAATACAACTGGGAAATAAAGGGGGAAAACACTTATTTTCTAGCTAAAACTTTATAATTGCATTCATGATGTTTAATTAAACTACAATAAAACAGGTAAATTTTAACAGTGATAAACTAAATCCTCCAACTTGCCTCAATAGTTTAGAGAATCAAACTAAATGACTTTGGATGCAAGGAAGGAATTTTGTGACTGATTTTACAAACACAGACTGATAGGTCCCGGTGGTATCTATTTTTGTCATATTACTCCTGAAGTGCACATGAGAAGCAATAAAACTGACAGCAAGTGGATCTTCCCCACAGGATAGGGCAAAGAAAGGGCTTTCCTTTACAGAACTGTATTTGGAGGGGAAACATAATTTCATTTAACCCATTTCATTAAAAAGCCTCTTAGGGTCGGGCAAGGTGGCTCATACCTGTCACCTCAGCACTTTGGGAGGCCAAGGTGGGTAGATCACCTGAGGTCAGAAGTTCAACACCAGCCTGGCCAACATGGTGAAACCCCGTCTCCACCAAAAATACAAAAAATTAGCCAGGCACAGTGGTGCGCACCTGTAATCCCAGCTACTCAGGATGCTGAAAATCACTTGAACCTAGAAGGCAGAGGTTGCAGTGAGCCAAGATCATGCCACTGGGTGATCCAGCCTGGGTGACAAGAGCAAAATTCCGTCTCAAGAAAAAAAAAAAAAAGAGCCTCTATGGGTTTTAATCTTTTAAATAATTCACAAGAGGTAAAGAACTTGATGTTTCATATAGTGAGAAAAACTCATCTGAAGTTTAAATTAAATCATCTCAAAGTACTAATAGATATGAAAAGTTAAACTGTGTCAATACATATGTAGTCTCATAGAGAGAATTGTCTTTTTAAGTAAAAACTTATAATAACTATGTCAGTAATTCTGACTTTAATTCTGGAGAAGTTTCATTTGAAAGAATTGTGCTAGAAGTATTCTTCCCTGAAGTCTGATAAAACAGTATAAAATACAGCTTTATCATCACTAGAGAAGTAAAAAATATGCATCAAATTTTCAAATCCCTTTTAAGAATCAAAGTCTCACATGCCATTACCTTATTTTTCATAAATTTAGAATGGCTCCGATACACCTCCATTTGCTTCATTTCTTCTTCCCGTTCCTCAGTACTCAAAGCCCCATTCGATTTCAGCATCTGAATTTCCTCTTCCAGGTCTCGAAGCCCACGCTCCATAGAGGAAATTTTTGAATCCTGAAGACAATGGAGATTTAGTGATTGAACTATTCACAAAAACCCAGAAAAGCTGAATAACATAATATTTAAAGATGTTACATTTAATAAAGATAAACAAATATACAGAAAAATTGCTGTCTGGCAATTGGTGCCTTGCTGTCTTTTTCTGAGACGGAGTCTTGCTCTGTCACCCAGGCTGGAGTGCAGTGGCGACATCCTGGCGCAACCTCTGCTACCCAGGATGAAGCGATTCTCCTGCCTCAGCCTCCCAAGTAGCTGGGATTACAAGTGTGTACCACCACGCCTGGCTAATTTTTGCATTTTTTTAGTAGAGACAGGGTTTTGCCATGTTAGCCAGGCTAGTCTCGAACTCCTGACCTCAAGTGATCCACCCGCCTCAGTCTCCCAAAGTGCTGGGCTTAATTACGGGCATGAGCCACCATGCCCAGCTTTACAGCCATTTGAGTAGAAGGAGAAGCACTCATATCCACAGTATAATTTTGCCTCCATGGCTGCCTCCAGTTTTGCATCCTTTAAAGTTGAAATAATTAACTAAAGAAGTAAATGCAATGAAAAACTGATTAAAATTTCTTTGCATGAAAAAATCTGCAAATTCTAATATTTTATCATTTTACTTGGTGACCCCTAAAAAGCACATTATGCCCCAAAGGAAGGGAAAAGATTAAGAGGGTTTCAAAGATTTATACAGTAATGTGTACAGCTATATGTGCAATAATAAAAATTACCTAACATCCCATTGCAGAAAAATGAGGGAATAAATAAGTTGTTACTTTTAACATGTTAGAAATCCTTACTGTCTATACTTCTCTATACATTTAAAGCAATTTGTAATTTTTTAAAATCAATGTCCTTATAAATCATCAACACTACCACAGATATCACCTTCTACTAGAACATTATTTCATATTCAATTTCTTGATTTTGTTTGTTGCAGTACCTAGTTTCTCCCCAGACTGCTTTACATGTCATGAATTACAGAAAGACTCCTACATGGAATGAATAGTTTTATATATCTGCAGTTGTATATGCTTACTCATTGAAGAAACAGAGACTTTAAAGAACATAAATTAAGTATAGCTTTATTTTACTTGGAGTTTTAGAGAAACCGTTCCTTTGGAAGCTATTTTGAGATTAACTTCCTTTTCTACTTTACCTCAATGATTTCTTGACTAAGTCTGCTCCTCTCTATCGTAATTCTCAGAGCATGATGATAAAAGAGTTTGAGGATTTATCTTGAGAAAACTACACCTAGCTATTTTCAGGTTCAAGGGAGGGGAGAAGAGAGGATTTATTCCTCTGTCTTGCTCATCACATGATCTTTAAAAATATCACAATGAAAATTTCCTTTTATAAATTTATTAAAATTAAACTTAAAATGTATCTGTTCCAAATCCGTTGTATTAAATTAATACAATCAGAGACATTCTAAACCTAAACCAGGGTGGGTTTTGATTTACTCATGTAAAACAACTGACCTATAAAGAGTACTCTACTTCATGTGCACTACTTGAAAATTCACTTTTAAGATTGCTATAAAATTTCTCTGGAAATATCAGAACACAGTCCCTTCAAAAAGACTGAAATACTAGGCATAAGCATATGACCAGCCTACAAAAGAAAGAAAGTGAAAGTGAAATATAAGTTCTCCTCTGTCATTACCCTGGGTGGTAATAAAACTGGACCAGCTGAAAGACAGGTCTACCTTCAGCAGCACTGGGGCTCCACCCAAGGCAATTTAGCCCCCAAGTAGGAACTCCAATTCTGTATATCACATGGCAGCCTCTATCTGTACAGAGCCTCTAGAAAGTCTCCACAAGGCCCTTAAAAAATATTATCTTCTCCCCTAACCCAAACGGAGACAAAGGCAGCTCTTGAGAAATCAGCACCCTCACTACCAAATCATGTGCCATAAAACCTTCTTCCCAAAAAGGGATTATGACTTCCGCTCTGAAAACCAGGAGGCAGGTACTGACTGACCAGAAAAAGAACCTACCAAGGAAATCAAAAGGCCTGATACTCTCAACTAGTTCTAGCATCAACCCAATTAGTACTAATGCTAGATTTGAGGAAAGTCATTCCAACAAAGTTTCTTCCTCCTTGAATGTGTAATATTTAAATAAATAAATTCCTTTTCACTTTACTACACTGTACTTCCCCAGCCCCAGCTCTCCCATCATTGTCCAACCAATCCCACTGGACTTACTGAAATCCTCTGCTCTTTGTCAAATTCCCCCAAATCCTCAACCTTTTCCCCATGAACTCTCTCCAGTGAAGGCCAGTAATACCCCAACACCACAAAGGAGCAGGGGAAAGGGTTGAAGTTCTCTCGGTTTGTTCCTCAAGGCTGTTTCCCTTTATGGAAAGCTCATATTCCTTTTCGCCCTACCCTCCTCATTGCTGCCATCCAGGGGCTTCTCAATCACTCCTGCCCACTTTTGGTAGTCTTTGGCACCTGACTTACAATATCCCCTTCAATTGTCACTCTTGCCATAATCCTAGGATTGCAATGTCAGAATTCCTTGACGCCCTTAATTGCAATGACCTCATCTTTCAGTCCATTTCAGTGATCCAGTTTATAGGACAGTACTCTGGATCCTATCATCACCCAGAACTCTCTTCCCCAGGCATGTCATATCCTCACTCTGATTATTTCCTGTTCTTCAAACTCACAGAGAACTCCACTTTCCTAACTGTTACATTTTCTCCCAACCTGTCCGTCCACCTGCATTTTCTTTTTTCCACGTTCAGGACCAACCTCCAAACTACTCTGTCATCATCACCCTCAATTCATTTGCATCTCAATCACTCTGCCTTATCTACCCCAACAAAACTCTAACCCTAGAGCAGTACAGTAATTATGCCCTGTTCCTCCACTGGTAAAGAAAAAACAAACAAAAGTAGAAGAAGGGGAAGAGGAGAAAGAGAAGAAGAGGGGTAAAGAAGGAAAGGCTGGAATGAGGGAAAATGCTGGGAGAAGGGATAAGAAGAAAAAAAGAGGAGGAAGAGGAAGAGAAAGAAGAGGAGAAAGAGGAGAGAAAAAGAAAATTTCGACACCTTTAAGATTACTGGGCGCTTTTACTTCAATCATCTTTCTTCCTTATTTTCCCTAAAGACTATTCAAGATTTTCCTAATTCTCTCAAGTGCATTCCACATTCTCATGTAGCAACACAGCTATTTCTGTTGTGATTTCAGCATCACATCCTCTTGACCCCACTGGGCCACTAGAATCTTTTTGCTTCTTAGTATAATAGCTGAAGGTTCACCCAAGTTAAAATACATCCACTGCCAAGTAATACTATTATTTCCCTCATGCTGTCAAAAGGTGGTTAAATAAATAATTTTGTGAACATAGGTACATTCATGTGTTTTATTCTGAGGTTTTAACAGGGATCAGGAAATAATATGACAAATAAACTTGTGGTGAATGTGAAAAAGGTAAAACCATGCAAGTGAACCATCCTAAAGGCCCTTTACAAGACGATACTCAAGACTACTAATTAACTACAAAGAACCCAGAATCCACTAATTTGGAATTTGTTTGGTAAATCCTTTCCTCGCCAAGAATAAAAATGTATTCAATATTTTAAAGTTTTAAAGAGGAAATCATGCAAATTAATAGTTCCCATAACTACTTCAGAAGTACCTATTTACAATAAAATTACATACCATTAACTAAATATTCTTGTCATATCAACAACTATTAAATGGAGGCCCACAATGCAAAACACAGTACTGAGCTTTCTAGGGGATATGAAGTGCCTGTGGGGGGATGCCCCTATCTACAAGAGCTTTTATGAGAAAGAACAGATTGTCAACAAAAATAATAATAGCAGCAGCAGCTAGTATGGATTGAATGTTTACTATATACTAGGTCCTGTTTAAAGTGTTTTTACATATTTTAACTAATTGAAATCTCAAAATGACCCACTTGGACGGTACTATTACTATCACCATTTGTTGATAAAGAAACTGAGGCACAGGTAACTTGCTCCGTATTTTACAATTGGTTAAGTGAAGTGAGATTTTGAATCCAGGGAGTTTAACTTAGAAAGCAAGCTCTTAATCACTATACTGAACAGCCTAAAGATTTCTAAATGTTCATTAACTTAAAGCAGAGGTTTTCAAAGGATGGCCTATGAAACCCTCAGGGTACCCTCAGCCCTTTCACAAAGTATGCATGATCATAATTTGTGAACTATTTTTATACTTTTATAATCATACTTTTATGAACTATTTTCATAATAATACCATGATGCCAATTGACTTCTCCACTGTCTAAAATAAAGATATAAAGCAATGATGGGCAAAACTGCTACTGCCTTAGCACAAATCAAGGCAATCACATCAAACCATACTTGTAGTCATTTTATTAATATTTGTCACTGTCAGGCACTTGAAGGAAAAAAAAATAGAAAATAAGAAATAAAATTTTTAAAAGACCACTTCAGACTGTCCGTGAGGAAGCAGCAACAAGTATTACTTTTAATAAATCTCAACTCTGGAGTACACATACTGTTAATATTGGGTGTGATAAAATGGCATGAGGCTGCATACTGAAATACGACGGTTATCCCTAAGCAAAGTACTTGTGTGTTGCTTTGAGTTGTAAGCTGAATTCAATATTTTCTTCACGGAACACTATTTTTACTTGAAAGAACAACTGACAAGCTATGGTTACCCAGATTTGGTATTTGGCAGCCATTTTCTTAAAATAAAGGAAGTCTGCCACTTTAAGAGAATAAAGAGGTCCTGAGACCAAGAAATTTGCAAACAGCCAATTTAAAGAAATTCTGTTCAACTCATTTTGGTCCAATTTACATTATGCTCTATAAGTGAAAGGAAATAAAATTGAAATTATTTTGTCATTTTCATTGATTCTCACTCTCAATCTCCAAATTAGTGAAATACTATTACATGCCATTTCCTAACACTCACACAGAGAAGTTTTTGATTACTTAAAATAATAAGGTGATTCATACAATTCTTTACTAGATTCTCACTTACCTTCATCTCAATAACAGTTTGCAGAGCTTTTGTTTTGGCAGAATCGGGAGCATTCTCAAACCTTCGATGCATCTCCTATACAAAAGAGGCAAAAACAGATTCAGTGCTCTCCTGCTCACTCTCATTTTTTTTTTTTTTTTTTTGAAAGGGGAGAGAGGCAGTTGTATGCAAAAGATCATTACAGCCTTATAAGACACTGACCCCTCTGTGTTACCAACAGTTCCCTGTGACTCAGGAAATCCACAGACTGCATTCAGGCTCACTCGACCATTCATGCATAGAAAGATCCCTATCTCTGAACACCTAGTTATTTAAAATCAGTCACACAGACGCCAGCTACCGTAACAGTTGAAACTACTGTTTCACATCCCCAGGTTGTGTGTCAAATCTTCCACACGACTCCAAGATATGTAATCAGAATTCCAAATGACCCAAAAAGGGGATTAGAAATGCTCCCTTTTCAAAGGAGAAATAAACACCATCACGATCAGTCTTCATCGCACAAAGTTATGGAAAGCAATCTGTGTTGACAACATCCCTTCCACGGGATCCACCCTAGAGTAACAACCACGTGGTTACCTATGATGAAGATCTCTTTCAAGTGGTGCTACAGTTAGGAAGAAAAAGATGACACTGTTGAACAAGCTTCCTAAGTAGTTCAGGTTCAGAAAATGTCAGAAAAACATTTTTTTTTAACCCAAATTTTACTGAGTTCAGGATAGAAAAGGAAAGAAGGGATATCAGAGTCTTCCAAGTTACCAAACCACCTCAGTGATTTTCTTGTCAGACTCTGAATGTCTCTAAATAAATCAGTCAGTACTTTCAAAGCACCCTGGGAACAGGCTCTCGGGAACCCAGGGAATACAGAAATGAATGCTTTCTGCTACCTCTCTCCCTACCTCCAGCTTTAACTATCCACCTAGTTATTCCACTTTCAAGTTCAACAAACATTTCAAACTCTTTGTGCTCAAAACTCAACTCCTGGCCAAGTGTGATAGCTCACACCTGTAATCCCAGAACTTTGGGAGGCCAAGGTTGGAAGATCACTTTAGCCCAGGAGTTCAAGACCAGCCTGGGCAACATGGCAAGACGTCACCTCTACAAAAAAAACAGAAGGACTCAACTCCTGATGGTGCCCCCAAACTTGCTCCATCCTTCCTGTTACTCAGGCCAAAAACCTGTGAGTCTTCTTAATGCCTTCCTTTCACTCTCAAGCCACAGTCAGGAAATCCAGTTAGCTCTAGCTTCAAATCATACCCAAAATCCAAGCACTTCCTGCCATCTCCACTGCCACCACCTGGAATGAGCCACTAAACAAAAATACACCTTTTAATCCATAACAACCTTCTAACTGAGCTTCATCTTGCTCCACCACAGTGTATTCTTAATGGAGCACTTAAAGTGACCCTTTCAAACATAAAGTTGTCCATGTCGGTGCTCTGTTGAAAAACCCGTCATAGTTCACCATTCAACTCAAAGTAGAGCCAAAGTCCTCTCGGTGGCCTGCAAGGTCTCATCTCTTCTTGCCCTTCCCTCCGTCACCATGCTTTAGCCACCCTGGACTCCTTGCTGCTCCTCAAATACAATAAGCATGCTCCTGATCCTTAAGCCCTTTGCCATAGCTGCTAAGGGAAGACCACTTCCTTGAGAGTCTGGGTTCAAATGCCTTTTTTGTATTATTATTAGGTTTAGTTGTTGTGATAACACCATTGTCGTTATGAAAGAAAATGTCCCTAAATTTTAGAGATGCATATTAAAATCTGCAGAAGAAAATTACATCATGCCAGGAATTTGCTTTAAAATCTTTGGTAAAGAAAAGAGGAAAAAGAAAAAAGGATACATGAAGGAAGTGTGGCAAAATTTTAGCAACTGGTATATAAGGTTAGGGTTAGGGCTAGGGTTAGCCGCCCAATGTGCTGAGATTACAGGTGTGAGCCTCATCAAGTACTTTGAAACAAAATCTTGTGACATGAAGAAGCCAGGACATCAATATGTACAGACAATTTCAGCACTGCGTGGCAGAGGCAGCAGCCATCTCAGGCTTCCAGACACACCAACAGCAGAGGCTCCAGTGGTGGTAAGCAGTGTCAGTGATGTCAGCGTAACACACTAACATACCTATGCCACGCAGCACTGTCATCACCAAACCAATATAGGAGTATGATTGATTCGAGGCATTGTTCTTGTCTACATTAACTTCTGAGCCAAGTTCTCTAGTCTTCCCAGAGGCTCTGGGACCTATGTATTTATCCCATTTATGCACTCCAGGAACTAAGTTTTGGAGATAGAATGATGAGAAATAACATATTTTGTCCCTTTTATCATGGAACCTTTAATAGGAAAAATAGAGTTTCATCAAATAATCATCTACATAATTCATCAGGGTCACCGACGACCTCCACATGGCTAACACCCATGATTCATCCTTAGTCACTGTACTTGATCTACCACCAGCATTTTACACAGTTGCTCAATCCCTCTTCCTTATTCCACTCTCTTCCCTTTGTATCCAAGATATGGCACTCTAAGCTTTTCCTCCTAGCTTACTGGTTCCTTTTCTTCCCAACTCCTCAGGAGTGTCCCAGGTATCACTCCTTTGTGATACTTCTCTTCTCCACCTATACTCATTCCCTTGGTATTTACCATTCAACATCATGCACATAGTGATAACTCCCAAATGTTTACATCCTACTGAAAGCCATAGTTGTATGTACTTTGCTTTATTGGTTTATTGGCATATTGAATTACCTGCCCCACTATTAACACATCTACAAGTGACCTCCTGGCCTTCCCCTCTAAACTTGCTTCACTCATCCTGCCTTCATTCACGATACGCATCCAGCCAGTTGTTCAAGCCAAAAACATAGGAGTCTCTTTTTTTCTTACACCTACATCCAACTCATCAGGAAATCCTGCTCTTCCTATTTTCAAAATATATCCTGAAACTTACCACCTCGACCGTCACACTGCTTTAAGTAACCATTACCTTTTGCCTGGATTACACTAACAGTCTCCCAAATCTATCTCGCCATTCACAATAGAGCATCTAGAGTGATCTTTTTAAAACAGATGTCAAAACATGCTTGCAATTTTCAAAACACTCTTTTCATTCACAGTAAAGTCAAAGCCCTTATGCTGACCTAGAAGGCTCTAAATGATTCAGCCCTGTTACCTCTCTGGCCTCATCTCTTATACTTCTCTCTCTCATCCAGTCCGATTCAGCCAGACTCGCCTCTTAGCTTTCCCTCAACAGGTCAGTCACCCTCTTAAGGCCTTTGCACTCACTGCTCCCTCTGACAGGCTCTGTCCTTCCTTTAACTGTTAAAGTCTGTTCAAAAGTCAAAAACTCAAGCAGGCTCATCCTGATTTTAAATTACAATTTGACTCTACTATACACTCCCAATATCCCTAACCAAGGTCTACTTTTTTCTTGGCATTCCTAACTATTAATTAGCATATTCTTTATTTATGTTTACTGTTTGTCTCTCCCATCCCAGGGATTTTTCTTGTTATTTGATGTATATCAGACACCCAGAACGATACATAGCACAATGACAGTACTCAAATATTTGTCAAATGAATGAAGAAAGTAATTTTTAAATAACTATATAATTCATATGTAAAAAGTGTTATAAAGAAAATATCCATAATACTGTAAGAGAGTAATTAGAATATGCTGACCTAGTCCTGGGATCTTGTAAAGGTTCCTGAGAAACAGCTGAGAGCCAAAGGATGAACAGGAGTTAGAGTGGGCAAAATGGAATCACAAAAACGGAGGGGAAAGATGATCTCACAGGTATGTTTTCGGCCAATTAAAATGCAGAAAATGACATGTGGGAGTTGAGAATCTGAAATTGCCCTGCACGCTACCCATACTCCACTGGAAAGTCTTTGGGAACTCCAAGGTGTTCAAATGCCCACCTTGAAGACTGCTGGTCCACACCTGCTATCTCTCCTTCCTCCTCTCCCATTCATTCTTTTTAATTGTAAAAATATTTTAGACATATAAGATCCCTTTACTCATAAAAGCAGCCTAATCTGATTTCTTTCTCTACTCCTCCATTGAAACAACTCATCAAGACCACCAACAAATTCTAAGTTACCAAAACTAGTGAACACATTTCTGTCCTCATCTTCCTGGAAGAATGCTTCTCAGAGGCATTCAAAACAATGACCCAATCCCTCCTAGATACATGTTTTGTCTTGACTATTACGACCCCACACTCTCCTGTTTTTACTTCTCTCTTTCCAATTGCACTTTCTCTGTTTCCTTCACAGGTTCTTCCTTCTAAATTAGACCTCCAGGTCTAAATTAGACCAGTGACCAGGTGATCAGTTCTAACCTTTTTCTCTTTTCCATCTAAACTCACTAATCTACTATGCGGTTTAAAATACAATGGAAATGCTGACAAATTTCTAGGCCTGCCCTCTGCTCTGATTTCAGGACTCATGCGTGCAACTGCGCATTTGGCATCGCTATTTAGATATCTAATAGGCAACTCACACATATTTTATCCAAAAAAAATTCTTGACTTCCTCTTCAACCTCATCCCTCATCTGATGACTGATGAGAGATGGGTCTTCTCTTTCTCATTAAGTGGTACTGCCATTCCAGTGGCTCAAGCCAAACCAGGCTCTCCTTTTATTCCTTCTGATTTTCATTTCCCATAACCAAGTCAACAGCAGATCCTAATTGTTCCAGTGCAAAAGTATTTATTGAGTCTAACCATTTCACCCCATTTCCAGTCTAGTTTGCAACAGCCTCTAGTTAGCTTCCTTCCACCTCCTTGGTCTATTTTTTTTTTTTTTTTTTTTTTTAGATGGAGTCTCACTCTGTCACCAAGTTGGAGTACAGTGGCACAACCTTGGCTCACTGCAACCTCCAACTCCCTAGTTCAAGGGATTCTCCTGCCTCAGCCTTCCGAGTAGCTGGGATTACAGGCACACGCCACCATACCCAACTAATTTTTTTATATTTTTAGTAGAGGCAGGGTTTCACCATGTTGGCCAAAATGGTCTCAATCTTCTGACCTCCTGAGCTGCCCACCTCGGCCTCCCAAAGTGGTGGATTACAG